GAAAGACTATAGCTGTCTATTTTTTGCAGCTTTCCTGTAGCTGTTTAAGAACTTAAGAATTGGTAAATATTTTGGTATGCTTTTTCGGCCACCCTTCCATTATTAGGAAAAGGCTGAATTTGTGAGCAGAATCAGTTACAGGACCAACATGAGTAATTTGCTTTTATATGTACATGTATGTGAAATTTAAAGTGTATGCTGCATATTCTTTAATTTGGTCTTGGCATAATGTGAATATATAGACAGCTATTTCTGAAAGCGATTATAACTGCTGATTTGCATAATGATACAGGATTTTTCTCATAGCAACTGGAAAGACTATCATCTTTAGCATGTGGGAATGATTTCAGGCTTTCAGAACAGTGTTTTGTTAAGTCTATGAACAGCATTAGAGCAAAGGCGTTTCTGAAGCGGTGTGGGGATTATTTGCTTTGGTATGTCTTCACTATTGATAAAGCATCTCTTTGTGGCATTTGGTAACTTCACGAATTATTGTGTGCTTTCAGTTTAAGGTTCCTTGGGTATAGTGTAGTTTTGTCTTTGTTCATTTGAAAGATGAAGTTCTGTGGTTAGTGAGAAGGATGAAGTTGAGGATGGCATTTTAGTATTTTGCTGTTGTGTATTATGAGTCTGTCTCATGTATATTTTTTTTTTCTTGTAATCGCCAACTAAAATCCCAGCCTGGATGTTTACAAGATTGAGAAAGGAATGAGTACTTTAAAAACTGTTGAAACCATTTCTGGGAATGGGTTTCTTAGGAAAGAGCTATTTTGGCAAAATATGTCAGGGTTAATTTTTTTTTTTTTTTTTTTGAAAGCCCATTTAAAATTTTGGTAGTTACGACAGTTCGCTTGACTTTGTTATGCATGTGTTGTAGAACTGCTTGAATAAATGGCTAAGGCTTTTTTCATTTGCCTGTTAAAAAAACAAAAAGCTTGGAATTGATAATGAACTTGTTGCATTTTTTAAGTCATCAGTTCTTCCAGATTTCTAAAATTATCGGTATCATTACCAATTTCATGATGACTCAGAATTCTTGCTTTGAATGTAAGCCCTATTTCCAAGCTTCTTTGTAGGAAATCTTAGTAGCAAATATCTTAACATTGATTTCCAAAGCTGAAATTAACTGAGGTGTGAAAACCAGTGTCTCTGAACTGTTGAGCGTGGCTGGTGGTAGAAGAACTTGCTGGAGATGATGCTCAGTGGATGGTTGTTCCCGTAACTGGCTTGGCTCCACAGCGATTGCAGGCTGCCCCAGAGGAGGAAAGACTTTCTTTCCCCAGCAGCAGGAAAAAAGCAAGCTAGTACTGATGCAGTAACAACGATTCCCTTCACTTGCTGCAGATCTTGGGGCATCTTTTCACAGGAGAGGAAAGGGTGGAAGAGCTTTGTTTTTATGGCAGCTTTTTCAATTAAGTGATGAAACTGCTATTTCTGCTCAGAGATTTAGATCATCTGTGCAAACAGCAACAGCACTTCCACTCTGTTCTTCCATCTTGCATCGCTCCTAAAAGCAAGAGGCATTCTTCAGTTGCTTGAACCAACAAGACTTTGAAAGCAAGGTGCTTCTTCAGCATGCTTGTCAGAAGCATCTATTAAAAAGACATAAAGTTATCTTCACCAGCAATATGTATGCATGTGTCATGGTGTTGCTTGCTTTCGTCGGGTGCAGGTGAAGCCTGCAGCCTCACAGGTGTGCTGGGGAAGGGTGTCGCTTGCTGTGGCCGGTGTCCTTTCACACCAGATCTGTTGCAGACAGAAGAGTGAGTCAGCAGTGGTGTGTGAATTGCGTTCCAGTCTAATACTTGGAGATAATAAGGTAGTTCGGGATGCTTTTACTTGGGTCCAGGGAAATTGGCTTGCTTGTTTCAAAAACGATCATGGTTTTCTAAAAACATCTCCCCCCGCCCCCCCCCCCCCCCCCCCCCCCCCCCCCGCTGTCGGATATTTGTTTTTCAGCAACACTTCAGTTTGTGCTGTCAGGTTGCAAAACCCCAGGGCAAACAACACTCTTATTGAATTGGCATCAGTAAATTGATTCATTCTCTTCCCTCCCACCCCATTTTAAGTCTTTTTCCACTTTCTTTACTTACTGACATATTGTAGAACACTTTTTGCAATACCAGCTCTGGGTTTAAAAACGCACGTGTAATGATGCATAGTTAAGCTTATGCATTGAATTCTGCTGGCTTGCTCCTATTCAGAAGAAATGCTTATGAACTGTGCATGTACAGCTCGTGCATCGTCCTTGAGGAGTGAAGGAGGGGAGAAGGGTCACATGAGATACAGGAGCCCAAAGGGGATCACACTTTGCAAGAGTGTGAGACCGCCCTGGTTATTTTGGAACTTTTAAATATCTCTCTGCCTGCATGTTTTTGAGGCTTTGGTGTTTGGACAAGTCTGTGAGCCTGCAAACTGGAAACGCTGCTGTTAAGATGTTCTGTTCCCTTCGCTTGGGGTGTCTGTCTGCTTCACTTCCATCTTGCACCAGCTGGGAATCCTGGAAAGTATCTCGTTTCGTAGCCTCTCAGAGAGGAAAAGCCAACAGCAGAAGAAAAGCATCTGAACATGAACTGCAGGCTGAAAGCGTGAAAAAAATGCATAGTAAGACTTGTGATCGTGAATAGAAAATTGAGAAAGTTACATGGTAATTTGGTAAAGTTTGGGCATCTGTATCATGGGTGATACTGTAGTTGAAACTGAGTTTTGTTTTGATGTGGTGTGTCGAATTTATTTTATCCCTGTTGCTAGCATCAATGTTTGTCTGCTATGGAGTAGTGCTGTGGAAAGCAGGCTAATATACTGGATTATTTTGCTATGGTAATTTCTATAGCCCTGCTGCTCAGAGCAGGGATGCAAAAGGAGACACTTGTGCGTGTGTGTGGTAAAACTAGGAGTAGGTTGAAACTAGGAACGAGGAGGGAGTGATGGGGTGTGCTGGCTGAAAATCAGGGAACTCACTGTTAATAGGTATAGAGCAGATGCATGTGATTTATAACCAGTTTCTTATGCTTATGGCAAGTAATAACTGATAAAATAATAAATACCTTGCTAATTATATAGTGCCTTTTGTTAATTTAACAGAGATATGGACTGCTTGCGGAGTAAGATGTTCAGAGTGAAGTTCCAAGTTTAAGATTTATGTGATTTGATAGTATCTGAAGTTATCACAAGCTCTGAAAGTTAAGCAATTTCATGCTGTTTTTTTGGTTTGGTTTGGTTTCTTTTTAGGGTTTGGGCAAGTACAGAATAAATTGGAAACCAGAGATTAACCCCTTTCAGTGTCTGTACTCAAGGCAGCTACAGTTAGTTGATTGGATTTCTCAAAAGCTTTCATATTTTTCTTGTTGTCTGCATAAGTCGTCTTTTGAATAGTTCAAGCAGAGCAATGTCTTTTAATACTTGGATTACAGCATAGTAAACGCCAGTTCTTTTTTTTTGAGAGTAGAAAACTTTATTTCCGTGTATTCAGTTCTTAATGTTTTTCTTTAGTCTTCTAATTAACTGTGTAAGTTCAGAACTTGTGCTGTGCTGCTTCCCTGTGAGTACTCAGGCTTGTGGGAATTCTGCAAGGATGGAGTAAAGTAGTTTGTATCTTTAGGCTTTTCTTTGTGTACAAGTAACTGGAATATTAATATCTTGGAAGCTGCTGCAGTGTTTTCCATCCTGATGATTACTCTTTGGAACTCTTATATTTTAACCTTAAAAATAAAAATGATTCTTATAGTTGTGGAATAATTTAGGTTGAAAGGGACCTCTGGAAATCACCTGTTTCAGCCCCCTTGTTTAAAGCAGGGCCAACTTCAAACATACCATGCTTTGTTCTTGCTCCTTCTAAAATTAGTTTGAGGAGGAGTATGTTAATGCGGTAGGGTATGGCCTGTTTTCAAGCTGCTAGTTTCATTTCTGTTTTGCTTTTCAGTGAAGCTTCTTCACTACATTATCATTTCTAATAATGTTTAAAAATTGGGAGTGCTTTCTTTTCTTGAGATCTGTTTTAAAAAAAAAATATATAAATCCATATATCATTACACCACCGGGAAAATATATACCAGTGATTTTCTAGCAATTTGTTGTGAAATCTTTACTACATCGGCTCTAGATGTAAACTTGCAATTTTCTTATTTGGCCTTTTTCCTTTGTGCTAATTTGTTTTTGCTAAGAGGTAATTTTCCTAAGTTCTTTATCTCAGGTTGCTTTTGGCAAGTCAATTACAGGTAGTTCAGAATAAGAAAATAGAATATTTTTCCAGGTGGGGAATTTATTAAATAAGACATAATCCTTTTTAGATCTGTATATTCCCATTTATTGCAATATCTTATGTTTAGGCATTCAGAGCTACCTTAGTAGCTGCTATAGTGGTCTGTTGTGTAGTGATCACGGAAAGTGATTAAAAACACTTGCATGCCTGAAATGCACTTTTTTGTTTGTTTTGTGTGGTGTACCTATTTTGGCATCACTGGGGACTTGAACATGGGGTTTGATTTGGAACATCTTGCAATTTAGTTACACAAGACTATTTTAATAGTTTCCTGTTGGATTTAATATGCCACTCAAACTGTAGAGAAAAAACAGTGTGCAGCACCTCTGTGATTTTAGTGAGATGATGTATGATAAAAGCGGATTACTAGACTCTGCTTTTCTGGTAGTTTGGTTTCCTAATGGATGTTAACCATCAGCTACTCAATAGCACAGACTTCTAATAAGTTATCTGCTGGAGATGTAAGGAGGTTTCTGTTATAGTGGCTGTGGTCAAAATACTGTGTTGTCAAAAGTTCTCCTCCTGATTTTCCATTATTTCCCCCCCCAACCTTTTCTCAGCCCTTTTTTGGAAACGATCCTTTATGACTGTACATACAAAGCTGAATTGTTCACATATGGGAGTCAGTCTGAGTTGTTGCTATGGCTTTGATACAGTTAAACATGTCATTAATGTCCATTTAATGCTATTGTAGAAATTTCACATGCTTTACAAATGTTTCCATAACTTGCATATTCAGATATTTATCCAAACATAATTGCTATGGGTTTTCCTGCGGAGAGACTTGAAGGAGTATACCGGAACAACATTGATGATGTAGTAAGGTAAGCTTTTATTTTTCTTTTCCTTACCTTCCTTTTGTAAATCTTAAGTATCCTTTTTTTTTGCACTCATTTATGTTCTGCTAAGGAAAGGGTATGTATTCTGACTTGTAGAATTAGAAAGATTTTTGCATCTTGTAGATGTTGCTGTATTAGTTCTCCTGAAAAATGTTGGAAACAACAAAAAAGATCTTTTCAGGAATTTTAGGCCAGGCTTCTGTTCTGGGTTGATCTCAAATACATGTAATCTGCTTGTTAGAGTGAATAATTGACTTCAGTAAATGCTGTTGGAGTAGAAGGAGATTCTTTGCTTTTAGAAAGATGCCAGTTCATGGTGTTGAGAGTTTCCTCAGATAGCTCGTGGCATTTCAGAATATGTTTGCCCGTATACTTTCTTCAGCTGGTAAATGATATGCTTGATAAGTTAACTTTGATTTAAAGAAGTAGGTAGAGGTGACTTTAGATAAAGGCTTTTACATCTGGCTGTGCTCAGTAATTGTGCATGAGGAAAAAAATCAGCTAAAATTCATTATTGCTGGTGATGCTTTATAGCACATTTTGTAAAAAAAAAAAAAAACAAACAATCTACAGGTTGTCTTTTCTTTACATCAAATGAAGTTAACTACTCTGAACTGCTGGATACAGCTGTGGAAGGTGTACTTAGTGTTTTAAGATCATCCTTGTAATTTTAGTCAACACCCTACCTGGATAATGTAGTGTGAGAAGTTGCCTTAAAAACTAAATACTTGGCAGAAGCTGTCAAGTGTTAGTGGTTTTAGGATCCTAAGTTTTGATTTGTTTAAGTCATGGGTGATGCTTTTGAGGTCTTGGACATTTGAGGTCCTAAATTCTGTATCTCTCCAAGAGACTTGATGTTTCGGATTGGGGTGGTGATGGAGTAAGGGACATGGTTATGCAGTGAAGTTAGAAGTAGGCGTATCTGGGCAAGAAGGTGCTGCTCACAGGTTTGAGGTGCCACAGAAAGTTTCTCATAATCGTTGGCAGGCAGCATTAGCACTGCCTGAATTTCACTAGTAATTGTTTGCATCCAGGTTTGTACAGAAATGAGTTGAGACAGCTCCTTGGTTCCCACACTGGGAGGAATCATAACCCTCAACTGAGAACTGGTCGTCTGGAGACAGCGACTTCCCTGCACAGCTGCAGTTAGCTTCAGATGAGTTCAAGGGGGTTTCGTTTTTGCATATTTAACCGTCACGACGAAGCTCACTATCCACGAATAGTACTGAAAATGTCAAGGGCTGGGTTTGACCAGGCTTGCAGAAGCGACCTTGTTCTGTCACGCGGTAGTGAAGTCACTTTTCCAGAGCCGGTCATATCAGTGAGGTTCAGCACAGCAATCTGTAAATACTCTTGTAGAGTGTGTACGTCTGAGAGAATTGTTAACAGAGGTGTGAAGTTATATTTACTAATCCTATCATTGCACACAAGAAAAAGCTTTTGCTGTCCTTTTGGGACAGTTAAGGGCTGTCCCACAAACTATCTAGACATCTTTCCTGATGGGCAGTCAGAGCCACCTTTTCATTAAGTTGGTGTGGGCACTGCATCTGTGGTGTGAAATATGTGGGCCCTGGTGGACTCCACCTTCAGAAATGGTAGGATAGGGGCAAAGAGTGGACTTGGAATCAATGACGTGGGAATAATCCAAGTAAATAATAATAGACAGTAGTCTTTGAAGGCCCTCTTCCACTGGCGACATTGATTTCAGTTGCTTCTATATGAAGGAAAATATATTTTATTGGTTAAGTACTTAGATAGGTGTACATTAGACTTTTGAAAGGGAATGACTGTATAATTAAGTTGTCCATAAATACAGTGATCAGAAGGAATAGCGGTCACCTAAAAGTGTAGTCACCCAAATTAAGATACGGAGAGATGTAAGGGAGGCTATAGGAACTGGATGCCCAAGTAGCATTATGTTTGTTGCCCCCTATTTTTAAATGAGAATAATGCACAAAATGTGATCATAGCAGCATTCTGCACGTTGCAGTCAGCAGGTCCTCATCTGATCCTGTCACCTTGTTATTGTGGAATTTTTTTCCAAGAGCTTTTTATGTGGAAATTCAACATGTTTGAGCTCCAGAGCAATTGGTGTTGAGTCAGGATATGCCAGTGGGCTTTTTCTGAATAGCTGATATCCTGACAAATTTAATGCTAATACTGTGTGAGCAGCATGACCTGGACTGCTGGCTGTCTTCTGTGACTGACGCTTTGAGAGGTTTTGGATGGAATTTGTCTTCAGAAAAATACTTGCATGAAAGATTATATTCAGTGTTATGAGCAGAAGCAGAGTCTGCTCTCCTTGCTCTCCAGTGTGTTTTAAATGAGCGGGGACATCTCTTGAAACAAATCACCATGTCCACCATCTTCCTTAGTCTCTCAAAGTCTGCCAACAGGGGCGCCAATGGGAGTCATGAAATATTTTTGCTGATGAAATTGGAATCTCATACTCGGTGCTGCACAAGGGGAGCGTTCGCATCTGTTCTTACTTTAACACATCAGTTTAACCGCAGAGTTCTTCTAGGTTCTTCTGGAATATTATGACTGATAACCAGAGCTTGTTTTTGCTTGAGCTTTCCAGGATTTTAGCAGCTAGTGTTTCTTTTCAATTTGAACAGCATGTTCTGTCATGGCTAATTAAATTCCTTCTGGCTGATGTGCAGATACACACTGTTGATGATGTTAAGTGTAAACATTTGTATGTTATTTCTTCTTGAACATTGCCAGGTGACACATCATATATAATCATGGCAATTTTGATGAATCATGTTTGCAGTTTGACTCTCCAAGGCTCGTTTGGGAAGTTTTTGTTACAAAATGAGCATGAAAATGAAACGAGTATGAAAAAGTACAGTGGTCTTCCTCCTCCTTTCTGAACCCAGGATATCATTGGATGCTGTCCTCAGACTTCAGTAGGAAAAAATGGCCCTTTAAAAAAACTGGTGTTAAATGATTCTGGCTGCTCTAATAGGAATACGAGAGTTGTTTTAACTGCTTTTTTTCATTGGAAGTACCACCATGGCAAAATATTTTGCACAGGTGATTAAATTGGAGGTGTTTACAGATACCTTGTGTAATGAATGCTTTCTGCTTTAAAAATAAACCTTCCTCAGCTTAGTAAATTCATGTGCAGGTATCTTACAAATCGGTGCAGATTGGTCCGTACAATAAATATTTCAGTTGCATAAGCAGTCTTATTCATACTGCTGGATTATTTGTGCGAGTGAGGTTTGCAACGTGCTGCCTCCTTGACTTTGAGGCATTGCAGGGCCAGCTGGGACTTGGAATGCAGAACTGCACATGCTGGATGGTGCTTTAACAATGCTGCAAACTAAGGTCACCATTATTGCAATGTGTATTAATACATGCTTTTTTTTTTTTTCTTACTTAAGGTTTTTGGATTCAAAGCATAAAAACCATTACAAGATATACAATCTGTAAGTATGCTCTTATAGATGTATTTTCCAAAATAATGAGTTCTAAAAATAGCTTCTGAGTGAAAGTGGCTTGCTGCTGTACTGAAGCAGAGCTAGTAATGTTTTGCACATTTCTTAAAACAATTAAGCCTGATTGAGAGCGCTGTTACTTCATTTAGTGGAGCTGAGTGAGGTTAAATGAAATGCTGGTGTGTATTCATATTACTTGAACGCTTTTAAATGACTTGGCATCTAGCCCATCTGGAGCTTGTACCATGTGATTAAAAAGTGAAAAGTAATTCACAGCAGGCTTTCTGTTAATGTATTAATGTCCGCAGTGAAGAAATTGCCAAATGAATATTTTCCTGTTTTTTTTCTTTTTTTTTTTTTTTTTTTTAATAAAACTATATTGGTACCCAGGTTCTGTTTGTTTTCTCACTGTTCTTGACTGTCCCTGTTTATTACTTTGAAAAAGCTATTACAGCAATTGGTAATGTAATGGCTTCTCACTTTTGTTAAGTGTAATGTTTTCCTCTGAAAATTTAGTTATGCAGAAAGCTGTTCTTGTCACAGAAGGGACTTTGTTGTTGTTCCTTGATCATCTTTATATGTTAGCTTAGGCTAATTTAATTTCTGTAAATGATTTGGTGATGTCAGCTTCTGTTGAAAAGTGGATCATGGTTTTCCTACTCCTTATTTTTTCCCAGAGATCTAAGTTGAAGATTTATTGATTCTATGAGCTGTTAAGGCTTTATTTTGTTTTTAATATGTTTCTAAATATCTGCAATTAATGGAAACATTACTGTAGTATGAAAATCCAGGCAATGCATTACACTGTAATCTGTCGGTCATTAAAAATAAGTGTTTAAATATGCCTCTGAATCAGTTGAAGGATTATGCACCAAGCAACTCTGTTTCCTGATGTTGGAAGTGAAGTGATACTGGAAGCTGAGAAATTGTATACTGGTTATTGAAGGTGTCTGTAAAACCTGGGGGAGGATGGGACAGAAAAAGATACGTAAATAAAACATACAATCAAATAAACTCATTGGACACCTTTCATACAATTCAGTAACAAAATCATTTTCTCCAGCTTAGAAGCTCTTCAGGATGCTAGCCTTTTAGTAAATGCTGCCTTGGCGGCAGTTACTGGGAGCAAAGCAGAACAGGACAGATACAGCTTAATTTTCTCCTGTTTTTTGGGGCCAAGTTCAACTGTCAGCTTCTGTGAAGTGTGGCTCTGCTATCACTTACAAGATCAGGGGTTTGCTGAGCTGCCTGATACAGAGCTGCTTGTTCTGAATTGGCTGGGGAGGTGACAGGTAAAAACACTAGGTTGCTGTGTGTAGACTTGTAGGGTTGGTCAGAAAGCAAGAGTTTAGTAGGACTTCAGTGCATTTTAGCAAGTAGCTCTGCAGGGAGGTGGTGCTTGAAAAGTTTCCACTTTGCTGTACACTAGCAACCTCATTTTACTTTAGAGAAAAGCAAAAACTGATTCCTACACAGGAACAACTTCAAAGTTTAAGTGAGAAGAGTTGTGATGAGAGACATGCTTTTGACATTTATGTTGCTGATACATGTGTTTTCAACTGTGGAAAATAGTTCAGTTTTTGGTGCAAGAACGCCCCATTGATTTTCCTTGTTGCGAATTTCAAAACAATTACAAGTGAAACTTCCTAAAATTACTATATTCACCCTCAGATGAAAACTTCTGCAAGATAAAGCATCCTTTGAAAGTGCATGGGTTTTCTTCTTCCCCAAACCATGGATCAGTTGCAAAGGAAGATCTGAGTGATTGCTGAACAGCTTGGAAAGCATAGCTGTTAAACTGTATCTGCCTGGAGAGGCCAGGTTATCTCATTAGGTGGACAAAATTTATACATGTCAAGCACATAACTGCCATTAGCTGAATTGTTGCAATATTTGATCATGAGAGGTGACGAAATTGCAGCTTTCAGGTATTTCAGAGAACAGCATCTCTTTAGATTAAGCTGATTCTTTGTAAATAATCAACCTATTGTCTGTGTTTAAAAGGAGGTGGGAGTTCAGAGCAGTTATGTGATTATAGTCAGAATTATTTCAAACACTGTGATGGGGTTTGAGTTCCCTTAAGGTAGCTGTTATATGAAGTTGATAATAATGTGTGTATTGAGCAGTTATTTAAAAGAATTCAGAGATTTTTCTGAACTGATGCTTAAATGTTATCAGTTATGCCTCATCCTTGCATCTTGGCTTCGAACTTCCCAGTGAATGTTTGATCAATCAGTTTCATTTTGTTTCATGTTTGTGTTGGTTTTCTCATGTATTCCTTTAACCCTGTGCTATTTCTTCAGTATTCATTTTTCTTAACATGTTCTTCCACTTTCACCTCCTGACTTCACATACTGCCAAATTGTTACCTCCCCTATTGTAATAATCTCCAGTATATTTCTTTTGACTGTCCTACAGGCAGATAGTTGAAGGAAAAAGCTGTAATGAACAATGTGGATTTTATGTGTGTACTTTCTGTATCCCTGTGTACATGGGGAATTTGGAATGGACTGCCATCTTTTTGGTAGCCCGTAGTCCTGTTGTCAGTGGGATCATGGTTATGATCAGAAAGGTGCCCGGCTGGCAGCACTTAGGATCTGGGTTGCTTTTAAACTCACTTTAATCATAAGGAGGATTACAAGAACCATGCCAACTCACTCCCCACCCCCAAAATAAAAAAAAAAATGTTCAGGTTTCATCTGGAGATCTGACTGCATTACAGGTCTAATAGCGTTCCAAAAAAACCAAACACGTTTGAAATGCTAAACAATGGAAGCATCCCCCAGAGTGCGTGTCGGTGGGATCTCTGGTGCAGATACACGTTTTGTGTAATGAAACAGGAGTATATTTTATACAGTTTTGTCTGGATCTCTGCATTTGTCATGTACAGATCCCATAAGAGGGCATAAAAAGTGATGCAGCTATGGTCTGTGCTCTGTTTCTATCCTTGGTATTGACAAAACTACTTTTTATCCCTTATGGTATTCTACTTGATACTCTTTAAAACTTCAAAAATTGAAGGCTTTTTTTCCCATATATAGCGCTTTTTTTGGGTTTTTGTTGTTTTGTTTTTTTTTTTTTCTTTGTTTTAAAGACTTTCATCTCTTACTACCCCTTTGAACTGGGTGTTTCTTTGAAAGGAAGAAGGAAACTTCCTTGGATAAGATGCTTTGTGTTAACTGCTTCGCTTTGTAGCAGGCTCAACTTCCAAAGTTCAGATGCTGACTAGATTGTAACAGACTCTGCCCAGCGTGGCTGATTGCTGCTCCAAGCGTGGTGACTCCATCTTGGGTGTACATACTATGTCTAATCTTCCTTCTCAAAGGCTTAAGTGCAGATTTTTTTTTTTGAGTCCCATCTGCCAGCTTAACCTGCACTGTATCACTGCTGACCTAGAGAAGGTGTCAGCAATGTGATCAGAGCTGTAAAAACTGCCAGACTTTTCCCTAGCAGAGGCTAGAGTTGAGAAGGCTCTGGAATTCAGAGAAAGGGAAGTTGCTGGATGCATGTGCAAGCCCAGCAGACCCGACTCTTTCCCTGGTGTATGAGTCTGGTGGACAAAGCTCAGAGCAGCGCACGCGAGGCTCCACGTACATATAACAGTCATACAAGTAGGGGCCTAAAAGTTTGCGTGTCTGAAAGTGTCAAGTAAGCTCCATACGGCTCCAAAGGCTGCAGTCATAACATGCCAATTAAAGATAAGTTCATACCAGTCCTGAAACTGGTGTGGGTATTTGAACTCTATGAAGAGTACAGGTTATAATCAGAATGGAAGATCTAGATGTGTATTGTCTGCTGAAATTACTCCCAATCATTGTATTTCAACCTGGAGTCCTGTTGTTTCGAGGCAGGATTGTTCTCATTTTCCTTTCTCATTTGCGTGTTCGCTTGCACCCTGTAGGGTCTCATCATTTTGCAGGCAGAGAGCAAGTCCATGGAAAACTATGGAGGGCATCCACTTCTTGCCTTCTTTCCCCTTACCCCCAGCATATCGTCTAGTTTGTTCCCTTCCAGCATGCCATTTTGGCTGTATTAGAGCCCTACTGATCGGTTTGTTTATATCTGGTTACTGATATTTGTCCCTAAGCAAGACATCCTGCAAGACTAATCCGGTGTAGTTTGCTGTGTTACTAGCTGACTAGAGTGGGTCTCTTACAAAGTGGTGAGACAGACCTTGATGCAACTCCAAACTCTTCAGAAATGTGCCGTTTTCCAGGGTCTGTGAGGGGAAACCTGGCTGACTGGCTTTACAGTTTTGAGTTCACCTGATTTCAAGAACAAATGCCAAGTGGGAGAGCAGTATCGCAATCTCTGCTTGATACAAGTGAACACCATTATAGTATTCAGTGTATTCAGTGGTGTTTTCAGTTGCCTGTGATGGTCTTGTGGTCCTGTAATTGGAGGAAGAATGGTTGCATAGGTTGCACTAGCCAAGGGTCCTTGAAATGTCCTTGTGATCCCCATCTGCCCTAGCACCCATGTTGTCACTGAGGCATCTTGACAAGTATTCTGAGTTCAGAGTCAATGGGATGAAGGTCATAGCCATCTATTCTTCATGTGTGTGGGAGCATAAAGTTCCTCGAGTGACTGGAGCTGTTAATACTACAGTGTTGAAAAGTAATAGTTTATTGAATTACTTGCATAAATGTCTCCACTGAGAGTCATGCTGACTAAAACATACTTTTGGACAACAATTAACATAGGGTAAGTAATTGTTCTTCAGCAAAATAACTGATATTTTAGTGAGCAACTTTATACATCGGCAACAAAACAGTTTTTCTGTATGTAACCTCTAGCTATAGTTTTAAATCATAAAGGTGATGGGTATACATGATTTTCCCATATGTTGATCTGCATGTTCCAAGGTGTGACAGATGTTGGGAGTTCCTCAGAGACTTGTCTTGAACGCTTGTCTATTTTTCTTTTTTAGATGTGCTGAAAGACATTATGACACCGCCAAATTTAACTGCAGAGGTACGTTTTTCCTATCTAGAATGCGTTCTTCTCTTTAAATTTCACTGGTTCTGAGTGAAGGTATAAAGGAGGAGCTGATGAGTAGTAATGTAGGAGATTTGGGCACAAGGAATAATGTCAGACTGCTTTGAGTCATTGGAGAAATTTGTTATACTTTTCTGAAAGCATCAAGAATATGTTCCTGACCGTTAACTAGATCAAAATCTAATAAGGCAGTCAGAAGTCCACTGTTGCAAAAATTTCTGCAGAATAGGTTATATAGACGTTTCTGCTTGCTTCAGTGTGGAAACTTATTGTAAATTTTAGATGTGAAGCTTAGAGAAGTCTGCTTTTTATGCACAAGCATCACTAAGAATAAAAATGGAGAACACTTAAGCCACTGTCACTATTCATATAGAACACTTTTGAAGATCTGGAACAAAGTTGTTTAAAAAAAAAAAATACCAGAACCAGTGGGGAAACTTTTAGGGGCTCCTTTTGATCAGACCCTTGGTGAGTGGAAACTGAAATACCTATTCTGTCGGTATTAACTCCTCAGGTAATATAAAAATACAGATTTACCTTTATTCTTTATGCAGAGGAACATCTATGTCCATAGTAGTTCCTCTTCATACAATGCTTCAGAATGTCTGGGTAGATAAGGAGTACTCGTGTGTAGGAGATGAATAAATTTTGGCCTTACTGGCTAATACTACATCATAGCAAGGGCTCAACTTCTATTATTACTATTTTACTTTAAACCATCCTTCTAGTGGTAAAGAGAATGTTTAGAACATGACCAAAATGTAATTGGGTGCTTTAATGTCTGAATATAGAAGGACTGAAATTGTCATGTTGAAGTCATCTTCGCTTCTGATTTGCTCTTACGATGTTGAATGACAGTGTCCTGAAACCTCACTCAATACATACAAGCCAGAAAAAAAGTATTTTAAGATCTGCTTGAGCAATACTTTGGGTACGAGGAGAAAAGGCATAAATGAGAAGGACATGCTTCTAATATGTCCAGAACATATGCTTGCTTTAATTCATGCTTTTTGTTACGGGGGTGCTCAAATCCCTTCGCTGTCAATCCCAGCCCAAAATGTTGTTTGTGACAGCACCTTTCACAGTTCTCTGCACAAGACAACATGTTTGTAAGGAGCTACATGTTGCATTTTTTTTCTTTTCATCCACAAATTAGTTACCTTAGATAACCAAATTGGTGACTCAGGGCTTCCCTCAGCAGAGGAACAACAGTTCTACTGTGAAATCTTAGGAAGTGAATTAATTTCAAAGGGCGCTTCTTACTTCTTACACTCACCATGAAACACCATATTAGTTCATTATTCAACTAGGATTCAGATTCAAAACCAACCAATGAAAAATCTTCATCTTCTTTGGACGCTAGTTTCCTGTCTGTGGTTTTTGCAGTTTCTGAAGTACTCCCATGCTGGATATTGCCTTCTGCTTTGCCACAGGCCTTCCTTTTTATTTTTTTTCTTTGCTCCTTTATGTGCTATGGGATTTTTCTTGCAGCATCTAGGAGCTTGGAGAGAATCATCAGAACTGTTCTCCATACTGTGTAGTCCAGTGTTAGGAACCAAAATTCGTTGAGGACCTGCATGCTCACAAGGACCTGCTCAAGACTGTGCAGCTTAATGTTTCCTAAGGTTGCTTTTTGGACTCTTAATCCCTCTGCACCATAACAGGGCATCCATTTCATCTGATGCTTATTCCATCTTTGAAGAAAATATTGCAAGGTTTGCCTTTGATCCCAAATCTTGGAGAGCGTCTTCAGCATGCTGTTTACTACTTGGGATTTTTCAGACCGTTCTTTCAGGACTACTTTCTCTCCTTTTCATGGGAACCTAGCTGGATGTAGTTATGATAGACTAAAATTTGTATGGACAAATTCGTAGCATCTCCTAAAGCTTCTTTTCTTGGGCATTTCTAAATAAAATCCTCCTTTCATTTGCATCTGCTGCAAAAAGTGACAACTCTGTAAGTCCACATAAAATGATTATTTGGGGAGTCTTTGGATGTTCCACGTGGAAGAATTTATTAGGGTGTGTTAACGTTTGTTAATCTTTGCTGTTTCTTTAGCAAAGATTATTCACTTTATCAGGCTTCCCTATGTGGTCTTCTGGGCGATTGTGGGCGGTCTGTAGTGCGAGCAAATAAACTGTCCTTGCAGATCCCTCCAAAATGCTTCAGACTTGTGCTGCAGTAATTTAGCAGTCCCATAACTTCATCCCTCACTTCTGTTCTTTAAGTCCCTTGGGATTCATCGACAGGAGCCTTGCATGTGTGACGAAAGTAGTACTTTTGGCAAGTGTTCGTATTCTTTTAATAAAATGAAATTTATTGATTTTTAGACCAGAAAAGGAAATAGAGCTTCTAGCTGAGAATTTTTAAGTGAACCAGAGTTGTATTTATAAGATCTCAAGTCTGTTGATGGAGAATTGGGATGCATTTTATAAAATGCTGTTCTCCTGATAAAACTGATAGAGCCCTGTGTAATTCTGCAAGTCAGCATGGCATTGTCTGTCATCTTAAGTGTTAGAGGTTTGGGTGCTTGTGTCTGCTTATTGCTTAGTTTTTGCTCTCTTAAGTTGTCTTTCATTTCCTGCACGCTTGTTGAAATCCTTTCCATCTCTAGATGGAGAATAGTGTTTGTGTGTTTGTATATATCCATATAAGAAAAAGGAAAACTTCGTTCAGTGGTTTGACTTTAAAACCCATAAGTATTGCAAGTGCCTTATATGAGTTCTTTTTCGATTACCATTTTTAATATGGAGATTGCAGGTTTTTGTTTCAAAACACCTTTGAGCAAATTCTGAGAGTTTGTTCCTAATCTAGATCCAAGTGTGCACAGAGTTTTTCAGCAAAATTCCTATTGTCTGATCAGTGACTGAGGTCTGGCCCGGTTTTCTCTCAGCAGGTAGTCTAATTATTGCTAGAGTAATGGGTTTTCACAAGGTTATTTTTTTGTGCCAATGCACTCCTAAATTCTAGAAAAATTGTGATGTAAGATACAGTCTGTGCGACTCATTTCAGGAGTAGTGTGAAATAGTCTCTTCATGTAGCAGGATGCTTGCTTATGTATTACTAGAGAAATGTCTGCAATGCATATAATATGCAGTACATTGCTGAATAATATTAGAGTAAAAAAACTTACGTATCTGTACATAAGGCGGTTTTTATTTAGCATGCTTATCACAAAGTTGACCTGTCTAGTTGAGTTTGCTATAACATCCTTCTGAGATTTTGATAAATTACTACTTCTCATTGCAGTTGCACAGTACCCTTTTGAAGACCATAACCCACCACAGCTAGAGCTTATCAAACCTTTTTGTGAAGATCTTGACCAATGGCTAAGTGAAGATGACAATCATGTTGCAGCAATCCACTGTAAAGCTGGAAAGGGACGAACTGGTGTAATGATATGTGCATATTTGTTGCATCGAGGCAAGTTTTTAAAGGCTCAAGAAGCCCTAGATTTCTATGGGGAAGTAAGGACCAGAGATAAGAAGGTGAGCTATTTTCTATTCTTCTGTTCCTCCTACCTGTATCTCTGATGCTTTTCTTTCTTGAGGTCGTTTTGAATAGTTAAGCCCTTTAAGAAAAACTTTCCATCAGTTGTGATATCTGGTTTGATTTAGTTTTTAATGTTATTGGATCAGTACAGTTGTTCTAAATGAAAAAGCTTTCCTAAGCAGCAGTAGCAGTTAGTCACAATGCTGAAACAGTCTGGTTTTTCCATCTCCTGTTCAAGAAGATCTGGACAGTTTATTTTAAATAGCCTTTTAAATAGTATTCTGCTGTGTGTTGTATCAAATGGGTGATTGATGAGTGAAGTTTCTTGTTCAGCATTTTCAGCCCAAATAAGAGGATTATTCTAGCTTGTTTTGCCTGAATGCATGAGTTGTTCATCTCCTCAGGTTCTCTTCATTTCTGTGGTGGTGTTTGGAGATGCGTAGTCATTGTTACAGTTGAATATCCATCCTGGAAGAGTATACTGGAAGAGTCTGTTGTTGACCCCTTTTCAATAAAAGGATAGTTAAGCCCAGACATTGACTGCCTCAGAGCCTGCTTCATGAGGTGCTGCCATTTAGTTTCTTGTATTTCTCCTGAGGAGAATGATGTTCCTGGCTATAAGAGCTTTCTGTTAAGACCCTTGTCAGCGATACAGGCAGACTTAGCAGGAACTCTGTTTGACCTTTTTGGCACAGTTATGCCTTGGTAATGGAGATTTGACCTCCTTATTTGAAATCTTCTTCAAATGCAAGGTCACTTCAGCAAGCTTCCCTGCTCATCTTCTATCATTTCCTTGGTGTGTTGGTAGAGCAACCCAGGGGGATCATCCTAGCAAGCCAGTTTCAGCTTGCTCAAGTACAGAGCTCTTTGTGTTCCTGTAGTATTTGCATGAAGTATTAATTTCACAGCGTGTAGACCTCTAATAAGCAGAGTTTCATGTTTGAAGGCTCTTGAGAGCAGAAGTGTCACACAAGGAATTTTAGAATCTGGCTGTTAATTCACTGGAAGGAGCAAATAACTTCTTAGTTTGCTGGTTTTACAAGATGGAGCTGTTATTCCATGTACTGCTGAGAAGATGGTTGTGATGTGGGTAATACTAGAGCAGAGACAGTGACGAGGTTTCCCATCAGAACTTTGTGGCTCTTGGTAAGAGTGCATGATAGGGAATAGGAATGAGCTGTGTGATGAATAAACAGTGTAGATTACTCCTGCTCATAAAGATTATCTAAAGAAACAGATAAAATTATAATGAAAACTACAAAACTTCACAAATACACAGTGAAGCATGTTGTACCTCAGTTTCCCTTTTGTAAAAAGAGGGTCATATTTATGCATGTTGGTGTGTTGAGGGGTAAGGTCAGTTAGGTGTTCATCAGTACCCCTGTGGTACCTCTGGCATGTTTGAGGTAACAGAGGACTTAGTAAACAGGAATAGTGAGAGTCTTGTTTAGCTTCACTGTAAATATTGTCTGTAACCAGCAACTTTGTTTTGGTTTCGATGGCTCTACTGGAAGAGTTGTGGGGTTTTTTGTTGTGTGGTTTTTGGTTTTGGTTTGGTGGTGTTTTTTTTTTTTTCCCATCCAGCTCCTCTTGAGCATGGCTATCTTTGTGGACTGTGGGCAGCATGTGATTCACATAATCCTTAAAGTAGTGTTTATAAACAGGTATTCCAGTGCAGGTTCTGGAAGCTTTTTCTTCCCTTGCCCATATTTCAGTGTTGTATGTCAAGTGCTGCTCTTTGATTCGACACTTCACCACACCTTTATATAACTCCCTTTCTGAACTAAAAGTAGATGAGGCATCAAAAGTGCTGTTTGCACCTAGGGACAAAAACATGCCTTTTGTTGTTGTTGCTGGACCAACATATGTATGATGAAGGAAAGCTGGCTTTAATTAGGTACCAAATTTTCTTTGTTTAAAGCAAGCACAAGGTACCCACTTCGTATATAGCTGCTTGGAATAGTATAGCTGCAATCTCTGTTGCCATTAATGTGCATGCCAAAGTGATTCTCGACACGGTTTAGTCCATGTCGTCAGGAAGTGTGAATGTGATTGCAAGAGGAAGTATGACTAATTGGTCAAGAGAACAACCTCGAGTACTTCTGAAGCAAGCTTTTCCCAAGTGCCTGCTGGGAGAAGAAGCTTCATAGAGGCCTTTGCAACATTAAATGAGAGTTGTTGTAGATGAGGCTGACAGTTGTTAGTTAGTCTGTTAATGTACTGTTGTCCTGGGAAAGGTAGTGGGGAATAAGACATTGCAGAGTTGAGTCTAAAAGCGTATCATTGACCAAAAACTGTTGGGTTTTGCTTTTTCTCTATAAGCTGCCTCTTTGAGTTCTGTAACTCATCATAGTGGGGGGAACTTTTGCAGAAGGGAATGATGAAGACTAGAAAGTATTGGCTAAATGGTTGGGTCTATCAGTCACTACCACTGTAGTAGAACAGGACTGATTCCTATTTTCTTTGAGCTAAGTGAGACAAGCTGTTTTCTGAAATTGAATAAAGAAGTATAATTGTCCAGCCTGTTTTTAGAGTTAGGGAGGTAAACCCCCAAAAAAGTCTTCTAAAAAAAGTTGCTGCTTCCACTGTTTGAAATGGCTAGCTTATCGCCTGTTTTTTCCTTAAGATGGACACTGAAATACTACTGTGATGACAGAGACCGACAACTTACCTTCCTACAGCTGGAGAAGGTCTCTATTTCTGCTTCTGCCTTGAAGGGTCTTATGATGAGGATTAGACTCAGAAGGAAGCGTAGTCTACTGAACGGATATGTATCAGCTGGGAACAGTTATTCAAGTGCTGGAGCTGGAGATGATCCATTCAGGAGCATTCTTTGACCATCATACTGTTGTATTTTTAGGAACAGCTCCTAATAGTGGTGTAACTGAACAGAAAATGGAAACCAGTTATTTTTGTGCGAAGAAGTGGCAGAATGACTCTTTGAGCAGGGTAGATATTTGACATCTAATGGGTCAGAGCTGATCAGTTGTGACGCCTTGTTTGTTCGATGTACTCAGGTGACAACCTCTGCTAAACCTGATGATGTAAGCCTAACCTGAGGCTGCAGCTTTAGCTTTACCCTCACAGTAGGGCATGTTATTAAAATTAATGTGGGAATATTACTTCCAAAAATGTTTGTTCTTTATAATGCTGCCTGTGCTACATTGGGAAGAGAACTAGAAGCAGTACCTGACAATTTTTGTTATGTCTTCACAGCTCGGCAGTGCCCTGTGAAACTCTGGCACAGGGACTAGAGAAGCTTACCTAACGTCCATTTAAAAAATTATGATGGTGATAGATGGGAAATGTAAGCTTCTTGAGGAGAAAATACTTAAAAGTGCTTCCCTGTTCTTTATTCTTGAGTAAAAGTAAGCAGGGGTTGATTGCATCTCTCAAAATATTAGCTTGTTATGAAAGCATTCTGCTTTGAAATCAGACCTTTGGAAAATGGAGAACTTTCTGTTCCGCTTCAGTGTGGCTGTTTTTTAGGATCTCAGGGTAAAGGCTATGTCTCTGGGGAGTAAAAAATCTCTGGCTGGAGGGAAAAAAACTGCCCTCTTGGCTGAGAACTGGTTTTGCTTTGAGATTGACTATCGCTTTATATAGCTGCAAAAGTGGCTGTGTTCTCTTCATTCTGGTCCCAGCCCTCGTTGTCCTGATAAGGTGTGCTGGGGTTTCTCTGTGGGGCACAACCTCTACAACATCAAGAAGCTATGAGGAAAGAAGGATGCACTTTACTTACCAGCATGGTTTTCTTCTGATTGTCAGCATTGTCAAATTACTGATGGTTTGCTCTGAGGCTGGGATTTTCTCAGTCATGAAGCTCAGAACCCAGGAAAGGAAACTTCAAAACTCCTCTAAGAAATGGATCTCATAACTATTGACATGACATCTGAACGAAAAACATGGTCAGTGTAGAAGGCTACTTAAGAAGGTCATTGTACAAGTGCTGTAGGGGAAAGTCTTTTGTGTAATTTAGAAACAGCTTAAGTGGTAAGGAGACATAATTATCAACTTTTTTTTTTTTTTTTTTTTTTAGATAATGGCAGGAAGCTAATATTTTCATGTATGCAGAATAGATGGTTACTAAACTAAAAGTACTCTGGCTACTTTTCGATTGACTGTTGTAAGGGGAAGAAGGTATTAGAACTAACAGTTTATAGAAATACTGTGTTCTAGGTTTTGTGACCAAAATACTCAGACTTCTATATGAAAATCTTTTGTTTGTCTCCAGTTTATTACTATTTCACATTTAGTTTTAATATGAAAGTTTACTTACTGATGCTGTTTCAAGTATATAGTGTAGATTGTTATAAACCATGTAATGCATTTTCTAGGAAATTAAATTATTTTTCATCTTTATCACTTTTTCTTGAAAATAGCAGCTATAAGACCTTTAAAACTATTCCCTTACTTGAAGTTTAAGTTGATTTAAAATCAGTAATAAAACGTTCTTTGGTTATTTGTTCTCAAAGCAAGTGTTCATTTCAAAGCTGTAATTCAGCTGAGAAGACCTTCATTTAACAGTTTGGGCTATTGGACCTATATTAATGAAACTTTCCACTTTTGGTTTTTGTGAAGACATTTCAGAAGGGCATTTTGTAATAGAAGGTAACGTCAGTCTCGAGTACAGTGATATTAGCAAACAAAATTAGAATCTTCTGACTTAAATGGCTGTATATAATTCCTGTATTGGTAATTAAAAATTAGACTATGTTCAAGGTACTTTTAACATCTGACACTCCCCATCCCAAAAAAAGGCAGTGGCGTGAAACCGTCTTTTACATGACCTTCAGGGTGTCTGAGGTGTTTGTTTTAAAGATACGGAAAAATCTGCGTTCTTTGCCTCATTGCTTGGGATGGATGCTTGGAGATATGTAGTAAAGTGACTGGAAGACCAGTGTCCTGCTTGTTTGGTACTGGGGACTGGTCAGTAATTAATTGCCTGGTGTTAGATAATACGTGCAAACAGCTTCCTCTTAAACACTCTGCAGGACGAATACAGGAGATGTGGACACGTGTCTGGGGAAAAGGGGAACGTGTACCAAGGGTGTCTGGGGATGGTTTGGAGGTGGATTATGTCTTTGCTAGTCCTTAAGGTGTCCAGCATGGTCCACAGTGAAGAAATAACTGCAGGTCATCACAAGATACTGTACTAAAAACTCATATGGCTGGCTTTCTGAGCAGTGTGGGAAGCAGTGCAGCACTCCCCTCCTTTCTAGGTACAGCCTGCTTAGATGCTTTACTCTGTGTGCCAGACTCCAGCGTAGCTGCTGCTGAGGTATGCTCAGCATAAATCATGACGGATTATTCCAGGTGCTTTAGCTACCTTTTAATTCGTGGTTTATTTGCCTTCAGATATATTCTGAGGTAACGAGCAGGAGCTCTGTTAGTGATGCTAATAAATGGTCTTGATGGTTTTTGATGCTTTTTCCCCTCTATTTAGGGAGTGACAATTCCCAGTCAGAGGCGCTACGTGTACTACTATAGCTACCTGTTAAAGAATCACCTGGATTACAGACCAGTGGCACTGCTGTTTCATAAGATGATGTTTGAAACAATTCCCATGTTCAGCAGCGGAACTTGCAGTAAGTACCCAGAACCCCATTAACCTCTGTTACCTCTTGTAAGGAAACGCATTGGCCTTTGAACTTGGTTTGGTTACGTGGCGGTTACCATTCTGTTACATGACCCGAAGAGGTACACATCTTGGTGGAGGAGAAGATCCTACTTAAGCACTTCACGTTCCAAAATCGGGTGGGTTAGCGTGGTCTATCTGCTAAAATCCTCCCAGGTGTAGTAAGTTGAGGTTTGTGAAGGACATGTATGGTTGTTTCACTACAGTTTCAAATTGGGGAGTATTTAATGGTTTGAAGATAAGTGATGTCATATATACTTATATTTGGATATTTGCTTCTTACTTTTATAATACAGCCTTTTTTTTTCTTTTTTTTTAATATAGCAACTCTTGGGAAATATGAGTTGCTGAAAAACATTTGCTTAAGGCATGTTGGCTTCAAATGCAACAACGTCATTCTTCCCATGTTTTGTTTTGTGTTTTTTTTTAAATATTCAACTGAGTAAATATCTAATTAACTCTAGAATAAACTTTTCTTTATATGGAGGCTTATAAAGTATTAATACACCTGTAAACCGTCGGGTTTGCTGATACACTGTGTTAGTAAGGAACAGCAGATTCCTTGGAACTTGGAAGTCTAAATACGAATTCTGTCCTTCTGTGGGCTGCGTTACAGGGCAGTAACTGTCTAGTATTGCTCGTTCTTTTTTTGTTAGTGGAAAAAGTCTTTCTGATGTTTTTGCTATGGAGTTACAGTTACTGCAATGTGTAATTAATTCCAGTGCCTCCTGTGGCTTTGATTAAAATTGCACTATTAATATTGTTGTAAGACAGTACCTGAATATATAATGCACATAAGAAACAATCAAACAACTTCTCAGGCTAGCTGTATTTATAGGAGGAAGAGGAAGGGAGGAGCCTCTGCCAAAAAAACCCTCTGCCTCCAGGGTAGAGGTGTGGAGGTTACAGAGTTCTGCAATTACCATTTATTTAATGTTTTGGATAAACTGTGCTATACTTGTGAAATCAAGCTACAAGTATGAATTGCTCGTGGGAGCATTAACTTGTTTGTCTGTTAGCGTGCTATTTTCACAGTAGGATGTTGGGATAAGCAAAAGATTTGTTAAGCACCTGAAAACAGAGTGACTGTTAACTTCAGCATCTTTGTGTACTGCAGTATTTTACGTTTCTGTGGAGTTCTCCGTGATTTTTTTCAGAAGGTGAAGCCAATGGCTTGTGTTATTTCTTTAGCTGTGTTATCTGCTGCGATGGTAGTAATTTTACCAACACATGATAACTCTAAATGTGACTTCCTTGTTATCTTCCTTCTGTTTTAAAGTCACCGACTGAGCAGAGTCACGTGTCTCAGGCAAAAAGAAGGGCTGACAGGATTTCTCAGCTGTGAGGATTTGAGGGAGATAAGTAGCAGTTTTATAGCTAGGCCATTCAGCAAGTTAGTGCAGGTATGCTCGGCAGGGACTTCCACAGCTCTGCAGGGGTGGTTTCAGGGTGGCTGTGCACTCTGCGGCAGGGTAGCGTTCTGTGTGTATCGTCTAGAGAGCATTCTGCATCTGATACTAACAGAGAAGTCAGGAGCAAATGCAAAAAGACTTCTTTGAATAAGTTTCATTTAATATTGCTGGCCTGCATGTTGGTGTCTGGCAATTCCCAAAGAAAATCTGCTTAGGCTGCACCAAAAAACCCTCATAATTTCAGCTGTTATGCCTGCAGATTTAATTCGGAAAGTTGCGCTGCAGCTGGCACTTTTTTGGTGTTGATGATTTACAGGACAGACTTACGATCTGTATCTGTATAGTCTGTTGGTGCTGGTTGGTTTGTGTATTAATGTTAAATTTTGTCCTTGTTTTTGTCTGTATAACAGTTCTGTTTGTGTAAGAGTAGAAATCAGTTTGTGCCTGCTCTCCAATTTGAAGAAGAGACAAGAAAAAATAAAACCTTTCAGTTACGTCCATATAAATACAGAGATGAGAAGCAACATGCAAGGAAAAGTCAAGTTGTCACTTCATATAGTCATTTCTTATTACGTTAAGAAGAAACAGCAACTTTCTAGGAACCCTATGGTTGCCTTAGAGTATTGCTACAAAGAACAGAAATCTGTAGGGTGTTTCCAGTAACATGTAGCAAAGTTTGATGCTTTGTGGTACTTAACTCTTAATAGATACTTATTTAAGTTTAAGAATAGCGTAGCTCATGATTGTGATTCTGGTACTAATATTGTGCTTTTTGACACTTTAAGGCATTTCTTATGAAGTGACACTCTGTTTTGCCATGCAGATCCTCAGTTTGTGGTGTACCAGCTAAAGGTAAAGATATTCACCTCCCCTTCAGGACCCTCAAGACGTGAAGACAAGTATATGTACTTTGAATTCCCTCAACCTTTGCCGGTATGCGGTGATATCAAAGTGGAATTTTTCCACAAACAGAACAAGATGTTGAAAAAGGTTGGTTTTCTTGCTTTTCTGGAAGATGTCAAGCCAATCCTGATGCAGGGCTGGGATGGTGGTTATTCTTCAGTGATATGTAATCACAGTATTTGATTCTTTGATGTCTGGTTTTCCTGAGGAGAGAATCTACCACAAAATGAAAGCTGAATATTTTGAGAGTTGGTGAGATTAAGTACAAAGGTTGGATAAAAATTATACTGGATAAGTATTGCAGTCGTTTGGGTAGTAGTGAGTAATCTAATTGAGGAAGAAACATTCTCATTCTAAAAATAGACTTGCATACTGAGCAAGTTAACTCCAGCTGTTTTCTTCGCTAAATTTTCCAAAGGCTTGAGCAGGCACAGAAGATCCTGTCTGTGTGCTGTTGGCTGATTTTACCCATCTGTCAAATTTGGTTGAATTTCTGAGATAATTGAGTCCCTACGCACTTTGTAAAAGTAGCTCTGCAATCTATTCAGCCATCTTTTGGTTCCCAGCTGCAGTGCCTTGACATTAGACGTTTAGAGAATTCACTCAGAACTGAGAATTTTATCAGTGTCTCCATTGTGGAAAAAATTACTCTAGAACTTATTTTGACACCAAAGTCAGTGAGTTCTTAAAGATGACACCCTCGTCACTGGGTTTCATTAATTCTGGTGCTTGTGGAGCTAGTTTGCATCTATCAAAGTGAGAGGGGAGGATGAGGCTGTGTTGATTGAAGGCTACCTTTGTGTTTTCTACTTATTCTTTTTTATCAATAGTTGTTCACTATTTAATGGATGTTATAAAACCTAAGAGCATTCACTGAGCAAATCTCATATACAGGCAAAGCACAAAAATAAGAAAATACTAGGGTGAATTGGGAGAAAAATGTAAGTGATAAGTCTCTTACTACTGTGCATGCAGGTTGTACCTACTAGATGTGTGTGTAAACACACGTGCACACTACTGTGGGCTTGTTCAGTTACAAGGTATTGTTAACTAGTTTAATGGTGTAATTTCACTAGCTGGAAATGTTGTGTTCTGTTGTTTTTCCTATTCATTGACGTCTGCAAAAGTTTTTAAACAGTTTCTTAATGGGAATATTTTCTTCTGCCTGCTTAATGAGATGTTTTAGTTGGTCAGCGATGCTACATGCAATACAGAGAGCTGTAAAACAAAGCATTTTAAAAGTAGAAATTCCACTTTAAGTCAACATTAAAATTACTGACATTTAAAACTGCAGTGCATGGGAGCTGGTTTGGAGAATGGACTTTTAAAGGAGCACCCAGATAAGAGCTGTGGGCTAGACATGAGGGGTGCAGGGAGGAGATGAAACAAACCCCAAACATCTGAGACAAGGTCCCGTTTTATCCATTATATGTCTTATCTTAACTGTGAATTTGTCGTTTCTTTACCATCTTCAGTAACACATGGATTGTGAACGGACCTTGTAGGAAGCGTTGTGCTGCATAGCCCCTCCCCCAGTAAGCCCCACAAAATACTGGTGTGCAGCTCAGATGCTGGATCTTGGCTCTGTAGCACCAGGAGTGAACTCCTGTGATTCTTTTACCTCTATAGAGAGCACTGAGATCCACTGACAGCATAAACCAGAGCTCCGTGTTATCACATAAATTTCTGTAGTATAAATTCGGTTCTCAAGATTGTGTAAAACTGCCTGCAGAAATGCAGCAAGCGTGCTACTATGCTGTAGTTTCATTTCAGTGTCATATCAGCCATGGTTTATTTTCTTAAGAATCTCTGTAGTTTCTGAGTATCTGGTTGATTTTTCTTTTTTTCTTGTCTATTTTTATCAAGTAGCCTAAGTATTTCAGTTCTGTGGATTACAGATAGTGCAGAGGTGCTCCTTTTCTCAGAGTTTTTGGACTGTTAGGGCCAAGAAATGCTGAGGTGGTGAAAGCTGCTCTTTCCACATCTGCAAGCTTTTCTGAGAGATAGAAACTGTCCCTTCACCAGGCGGAAGTCTTTTGTAAAGAAACCACCTTGATAATCTGCCTGAAAGATCTGTTGAATCCAGTGTTTAATTGCCCTCAAACTTGTGTAAGAGTGGAGGCTAAAAGAAAGTAGGTATGTGGTGTTACACAGTTCTGGTAAGATCACCTCTGTTAGCTTTACTGTAAATGCAGACATGAATCGAGGGCGTTTGGGACTGGAGCTCTGGATCTTCTTGGGTGCGATTATTTTAGTTGGTTTTATGAAACCACTGCTGAGGTCTTCATACTGAGAATAAGTGAAATATTCCATCTCTGACGTGCTTTGGCACTACAGGAGATCCTCTCACGTGGTTCTTTTGACAACTTCTAATGTAAAGCGACTAAGATGGAAATAGGGAGGTGAATATTTGTGGCAGAATACCTACCTTGGCACGAAGTTGAACACGTTTCTCTGTACAGGTGTTTCACATCTGTGCCTGTTCTTTTTCTAGATAAACTGACTCCATGCAGTTTTCACTCAAAACCCGAAAAGAGAGGGCCTTCCACTGCGTAGACTTGTCACATTTTGGAAATCACCACCTCTGTGCAGTGATCAATTAGTTAATGAGGAACAGCATAATTAAGAGTAACAGAATCTTACCTTTCAGAGATTCTGGTTTATTTACGGGAGCTTATAAAGGCTGGAGTTACAGGTCTGTTGCCTGTCCCTGGTTCTTGCTGTTCCAAGTTTTTCTGTTAGCAGATTTACAGGTAGCTGCTAAACAAGTTTTCTTGCACACACTTAAAGGCATTGCATATGTACCAGTTTCCATTTTAACTTTCCGTAAGAAACCTAATCAAAAGCCTAAAAACATTGAAGTGTCATTCTTGATCCATTCTGGGCCTCAGGCTGGAGAATGGCTATGTCCCATCTCTGGAGGTAAGGAAACTTCTGTGTCCTCATACTGGGTCTGGTTTGGTGTTTGATAACCCAAACTCAGATGAAGTGCTCCAGATTCACTCACCTATACTTGCTTTCAAATTTCTTAATACTCTGAAGAACAGTAGCATTATCTGCAGAGCTTTCTAGTATGGATGGTCCTCCTCAGCTTTGATCATGCTTTTCCTGGATAACATTATTGTCCATGAAACAAAACAAACTTGAGTGACTGAGTGACTTTAAGCACCTAGTGTTGCAGTGTCAGTGTGAAATTTAAAGCAGTCAGTTGTCCTGTTTTTTTAATGGCAAAACTTAATTTAAGCAAATTCAGTGGCTAGCAAGAGCTGACCTCAGCCAAAGGATTATTGGTGCTGTTGAGATGATGTTGGTAAGAGGGTGACTGCTTTGAAAGTTACCCTGTTTCAGCTCTTCCATAATCTGTGCCACCTGGCATCAGTTAGTAAGTCCACAACTTTTGGTCCTTTCATGTCTAATAAAGTTGTTTACTTTATTCTTGGACCATTTCTTCAGTATGATGTAGCTACTTCCTTTCAAGAATGAAATGTTTGCTCATATGAGAACAAAATGGCTTGAGGCTTGAGTGCAGTTATTATGTATGAATTTCTGATGGATAGAAGTTAGTAATTTGGGGAGTTTTTGAGCATAGTTTTTTGTTTCTCTAGCTTGCAGCGTGGCTGTTTTTCCATCTCAAACTGCTGCTGTAGTCTCTCTAGATTTGCTTCCATGCTACCTGTGTGAAACCTTTTTCTTCCAGTTATTGATGTTGACATGATAATCTTAAAGTATTTCAGGGTATCCTTGGTTCAATGAGAGTCTATTTAAAAATAATACAGAAGATCTTGTAATCATCCTGTCTGCAGAAAGGAGACCTTTTTCAGAAGTCCTCCCAGTATAGACGAGAGGGAAATGTTGGTGTGGTTTTTTTTTTCTTGCAAAAGTCACTGCTGTTTTATACCCAGACTCTAGCGTAGGCAGGACTGACAGCATTGTTTGAGCTGTTGGGTATGCCGTTTCATCTCTTGAGTCTGTATAGATGAGAAGTTCTGCCACACAGTTCAAGAGGACTTTGGGTGAATTCTTCTGTTTAGCAAACACTGACGAATGAACTCTGAAAATATCAGAATGAAACTGTTGATCTGGAAATGGTACAAGAAGTTCCATCAGTCATGACTACAGGAAAACTGTGAGGCTAGCATGGAACAGGTTGAAACATGATCTCCGTCTTCTGATTGCTGGATAGCATCTCCAAAACCTTTAGCTGGTTATAAATGTTTGTAAAACTGCAAAATTAAACTCTCAGGAGGACATGGGAACTCCTTGCTGATGCCTTAAATGATCTTGGATTTGGATTTCAGTCTGCAGTTAGAGGTGGGTATCGGCTCAGGAGTGAGGTATATTTGTCTGTCAGTCTGAGAACTGAAAATCTGCACAAAGTAGGGATAAGCACTGTATGCCAAAATAGTGTGATTAAATCAGCTTTCGTCTCAAGTGTCCGATACTGCTGTGTAGATTTTATGATACAGATTTGGTTATGGGAAGAAATACATCTGCCAGATGCCTGTGATGTAACTGGAAGTGAAGCAAAACACATTCAAAAAAAGCCTTTAGCTAATACTCATTTTCAGAAGCCTATTAATTAAATTATGTTCCTGTGAGCAATTGATCCGGTATTCTGATTTGCTATATAAATCCCAAGTTCAGTTCATGCCTTGATTTTTAAAATTCCTATCTTTGGCCCATATTTACATCAACTTTCTTCATTGTCTCCCATGAAGTATCTTGGAGCCTGATGCTTTAACTGAAGCTGGCTGAATCCTCACTTTGAAGAATGAGTTTTGTTTTTCGGTGAAAGCAGTGACACAGTTATCAGCCTTAAGAGCTAATTCAGAAAACCATGACAAAGTCTTCCCTCGATTTGAGTGGCCCTGTCGTGTTCCAGTACCCATGAACTTAGTTTATTAACCTAATTAAGTTAGTGTAGTGGGAAAGGAAGGAAAATAACTTGATGCTTTAAAAAGCTGGAGGGAGATAAAAGGATAAGTGACCAGCTTAGCCAAGTTGTATTGTTTAGTTTGAGTCCCTGAAGACCTCTGCAAATTTATCCCAAGGAAAACAGATTAAAAGATGTCTGTTGAGAAGTTTGTTGTCTGTCTTGTCTTCTCCAGACTATCGGTAAGGCTGAGTCCCCACAGTTGTTCGTTCAAGCAGGCCCTTCAGTGCCAAGTAAATCCTTCCTGGTTCTGTCCACCTGATGAAGTTTAAGGTGAGGCATGGCAAGACCATGCCTTCTACTTCTGCTGGTATTGGTTTATATCCAGTGGCCTTGTTAGTTTTGGCACTGCTTTCCTCCAAAGCTGCTTCAGCACTATTGGTGTAAGCCATTTTCCATCCAGCTGCTGCAGTGTGTTCATCAGCTTTGACCTCTCCTCTGCTGACCTCACTGGAAGTGTCACGGGTGGCACAGAGGACCAGCAGCACCAAAATGCATTGCTGCTTCTGCAGTGTGGTCCTGAGAAAGGATGAAGCATAGTAGTACCATCATCTCGGCTACAAGAGGTGGAAGCTCCCTTAACTGTGGTCATGGTGTGGAAATGCACTTTATTCTCTAAATCCTCACTGAAAGGATGGCCTCTTCACCAGTGGTGAGACTGCAGGTGGTATATCCACCTGTTAACAGAGCTGTCGGGTGCTGGAAACATCAGCTCAGGCTTGCCTTTTCCCACTGTTTGTTGCAAATGGCACCTAGACTACAAATCTCTCCTGTTCTGTATCTGGAAAGTTGATGCCATTGGTTGTTTCTGTTTTGACCTGAACTGGTCTTTTGGTTTGAGCAGGAGTAGCTGTCTCATCTCCTTGGAGGACCTTGTATCTTTTGAGGGACTCGTCATCTGGGCATAAGAGGAGCCTGGACCAGGTTATCCTGAAGACTTCATGGGGATTTTGCCTACTGCCACTTTCTTCATCAGCAGGCAGGCTGATGAATTGTTGGAGCATTACAGAAGAATAAACCCTCTTGCCCGGGATGTTCCTTTAGTTACAGATAGTGGGGTGGGCGTTTTTAGGGACTGTTTCTGAGGTAGTGTTAGTGAAGAAGAGGGTGCTAAATGTATGAGCAGTTTGGGCCTGACAAGAACCTGCTGACTGCTGCCTTGCATGGATGGGCTCTAACAAGGCTTCTTCATAAATGTGATGGCTTGAAGGGTCTCTTAGGTGCTTATAGAAACGCACATAAGCTGGAAGTGTTTTTATATACCTTACCTAAAACACTGAAAATGGGTCTACCGACCTTGGGCAAAGAAGGCAGGTGGAAATCGTTTCATTAGACACTTCAGAATTCCCAGCATTTGTGTGCTTATATGTTTTTATTAATTTGTGAGGAAGAAGAATGTAAGTTAAGCAATAGTCCAGCTCATCCCTGCCCCCTTCTTGGCCCAGGAAAACGTGATATTTTGGTGCCAAATTGCCTTCAGCAGGGAGGCATGCTCATATGATACACACTAGAACCACTTCTGTTCCACCTCTGATTTCCACCCCCCGCCCCGCCCCAGCTTACCAGCAGGGATGAATAACTAGCAAAATGGGGCAGGACCTGGATTTTCCAATAAAAAATTGGAATTCGATCTCGCTGGTAAACCAAAATATGTAAATTAGCTCAGAGTCGTTGGTTTGTGTTCTAGTCCTGTATAATAACAAGGAATGTTAAGATTCCAGTATGTGCTAGCTTTCTCACCCCTGCAGCTTTAACTGAAATGGAGAAATACTGAGTGTTGTGGGAAGACTGGTCATTTGCATTTTGGATCTTTTGCCTTAAAACTCAGAGTAAAATAGAAGGTTTCATTTGTAAAGAGGAAGTAAATGTAGTTCAGTTTCAGATGGAGAAATGCTTAATGTGCTAGTCTTGGAAACATCAGCTCTCAACTGACAAAAGTATGGCAAGTGACAGAAAACTAAACCGAGAGCATTCAGTGCATCCTACGGAGCTATTTAGCAGAGAACTTAAAAGGTGAAGTTCCTGAGCGTGTTATCTTTGGACGTTGTCTAGCCAAGAGCAAAACCTTGCTGCTTGTTCAGGAGCACATATGGAGATAGACACTCACAATTACCCTGCTAGTCATAATGATAAGCATGTGATGTACTGGCTGATATCAGCTAGTACTCCAGTGACTTCTGATGCATTTATATTTTACCTCTTTGTACAGGTATACCTGTTGCAGTGTTACAGTGGATAATCTAACTTGCACCTTCCCAGCTGTTGATGGTCATCTGTCGTATTCTGCATAAGTTGAACATACTTAAACTGTCAATGCCTCATCATCCGATTAAAAACTTCCTGTTGAAGGACAGCAGATGGTTCGAAGTCTGATTTGTCTTAGTACTGATCAGCACATATCTGACTGGTAGAAACCATCTCCATAAAGCAATAATGAATCCACTGTGATAGGAGTCCAGTATTTGTAGGGTGGTTTTGATCCATTACAGCCACTTCTGTATAAAAAAAAAAAAGCGTTCTGTTATGCAGCAAGCTGAGGGAAGATGTCCTCTCTTGATAAATATTACTCACCTAAGCTGGTTCACACAAGTTGTTTGTTGGGTTTGGCTACTGCTTGTCAAGGTATGGGCAAAAAAATCTCTTTATGCCTTGTGATTACAAGTTTAACACTTGTTTAACTTGTCATCTGCTTTTTTTTGTAGGTTTGATTGATTTAAATCAGCTTTTGATAAAGAGTGACTTCTGAAAGCTTAATTGGTTAAAATTGAGTTTGGTTAATGCAGAGTTTTGTGTATTATCTAGGACAATTGGTGAAAATGTCTTTGCATGCAATGTAACTGATGATGTACTGTTGTCCAGATGAGTTTTGTCTGATATTACTGATTTGGTTTTGACCAGTTAATGATATTAGTCTAATCAATGTGCCATTAGTGAATACTAAAGCAAGCTTGTTCTTTGTGTTCTTCCTCCCCCAGGACAAAATGTTTCACTTTTGGGTAAATACATTCTTCATAGGACTGGATGAAAATTCAGACAAAGTAGAAAATGGAAGTCTAGTTGCAGATCAGGAACTTGATGGTATTCTCAGTACAGAGCGCTCAGATAATGATAAGGAATATTTAATCCTTACATTAACAAAAAATGATCTAGACAAAGCAAATAAAGACAAAGCCAACAGATATTTCTCTCCAAACTTCAAGGTCAGTATATAATGTGGAAGCAAAGCTGAAAAGCTGCATGACATTATCCAATTTGTCTGTCTTGCCTTATGGAGGAACCATTTGAAACTGCTGTCTATGTAGAAATTGAATTCATGTATTAATATTGCCACCACTTAACACAGCTTCTAGCTTTGTAAGTTTATCTGCTGTTGGGGAAGTTGATAGATGTTGAGAGACTGGGAGTAAAGGCTTTGGGTTGCTTCAGGTTTTTCTCATAACCATTAAAGATGAGTAGTGGGAGACCCGGGGACCCAGGTAGCATCATTCCTGTACCAGCTGCATTGCTGTGAGCTCTGAGCTTTAGAGTAACTCCTGAGTTCCTTTGCAGAGGTGCCTGCTTCACGGGAATACCTTAACCTGTGAGTTGAGCTTTGAGGAATACGAGCCATTGCCAGCACTGTTGCTAAAAACGAAAAAGGCATTTTTAAGAATCTTAGTATTTTGTAACTTGCTCGTAAACTATCAGTAAACCCAGCAGTGCTTATTTTGAAGGTAATGGTCACAGCTGCTTGTTGGAGCGTTGCTTGATCAGACTGCTAATGCGCACAGATGCACATGTGCATCACCAGTTACAGAGTGTTTTGTTCATTCCTGTGCACTCTTTTTACAATCGCTTTCTGTGCTTGTAGAGGTCTAGAAGGTAGGATGGCTAAAAAGCTTAGTGGGTTCTGTCCCACCGCAGTGGTCTGTCCTGCGAGAACTCCAGTACTGATGGTTGGTGCAGATAGGCAGAACTCTTTCAGCTGGGCTTGAAAAACCTTCTGCTTTGCCAGTTCTTTATTTTGGTGGTAGTGAGAGGCTGGCTAACCTCAGAAGAGCTCTTGCTTTCCTTTTTTCCAGACTAGAAATGAGCACTCGTGTGATTCAGTGTAGCAAAAGGACCCATGCTGTTAAAAATTGCATTGTTGCCTGTGCTTGGTTGAAGTCCAGGTTCCCTTGTTAAATGTTGTTTTTTCCTTTCCCAGGTGAAGCTATTTTTCACAAAAACAGTAGAAGAGCCATCAAATCCAGAGGCTAGCAGTTCAACTTCTGTAACACCAGATGTTAGTGACAATGAACCTGATCATTATAGATACTCTGACACCACTGACTCTGATCCAGAGAATGAACCTTTTGATGAAGATCAGCATACGCAGATTACAAAAGTCTGAATATTTTTTTTATCGGAGATAAAAAAAAAAAAAAAAAACACACAAAAAAAAACCAACCACGAAGAGTGACAAACTTGAATAAACTGAAAAAAGGACCTTTTTAAATGGCAAAAGGACATAGTGTCAGATTACCAATTATAGGAACAATTCTTTCCTGACCAATCTTGTTTTGCCCTATAAATCTACAGGGTTTGACACTTGTCCAGTTGAAAAAAAAAAAAAAAAGGTTACGTAGGTCTAATATGTATATACCTTTTTGTGTCAAAAGGACATTAAAACTTCAATTAGGAACTATAAACATGGCACTTTCCCATTTTATTCCAGTTTTATAAAAGTGGAGACAGATCTAATGTGTATACGTAGGAATTTTTCCTTTTGTGTTCTGTCACCAAACGAAGTTTCGAAAATATACAGGTTCACATCCTGCCCCTTTTTTTGCACTTGTGTGGCAACAGAAAAGTCTGCAGTTGGCTAAGAGATGTTTCTAGAAGGTTTTACTACATTCTAATGCATGTATTTCGGATGGGGGATGGAAAGTAATGCTCAGAAAGGAATATAGTCTGCTGGAGCTTGGCCTGTGTACCATATCCAGCTATTTACATGCACCTTTCTTTAGCATGCTGCCGTAATTCATCCTGGATGATTGAAGAGTCGCCGCTGTCACTGCTTGTTGTTTGTGCATTTTATTTTTTTAAGTGTAATGGTGCTAGAAAAGGCAGCTAGAGGGAGTGATTCTGTATAGGGGTACAGGAATGAACCTTCACAACATCTTAAAGACCCACAAATGAAGGGAGAAAAATTATTGGGGTCACAGAAAGGAAACACAGCAACAATGACTTAACCATACAAATGTGGAGGCTATCAACTAAAATATGGGCTTGAAAGAAATTGTTACAAAATTTGACAATGATTTATTAATTGTTTTTTCAGAATTGTAATGGCTGCTCCATCTCCTGTGTAATCAAGGCCAGTGCTAAAAGTCAGATGCTATTAGTGCATACATCAGTCAACATCTTACACTTATATTATTAGTTTTTCAATCATATTCCTGCTGTGAATACTTCATGTGCTGCCTTGCAAGCTTTTTTCTCATTAATATAAAAATATTTTGTAATGGTGCACAGGAAATTTCAGTTGGAGATTCTCCAGGTTAGTGTTTGTTTTGAAGATTTATGATGCATTTATTCAATCAAACCTCTGTCAGCTGTTCCGCCCCTTTGACCTTACGCATTCTAGTACAATAAGTTTTGCAGTTTTGCACACTTTAAAAAAAAATGTCATTAACTGTTAGGGATTTTTACTTGAATACTCAGTATCTACAATGTTTTAAAAATAGACATTACACCACGATATAGAGAAAACCAGTGTTGCAGTAAATTCTCAGCACTGTGTGTATATGAAGATGTGTACTTTTTAAAAGCAGAGCTCGTCCCAGATACATTGTTTGCTATTAAAAAAAAAAAAAAAAAAAGGAAAACAAACCACCCAACAAATTAGATTTCTGAACTGGCAGTGTTGTATTATTTGTTCGTAGGGATATAGCCAGGAGTAGGGCTTGAGATTCACTTTCGGTATATAATTGACATGCCCAGACTGCAGATGACTTAAGAGTACAACTACTGTTGCATACAAATGCGAAGTAGCTGACAAAATTGTTCTCTCTAAAGCACGCCATGAATAGCTGTCCCCAAATTGACACTTTTTTAGGATGTAATACACCCCCCCCACCACCTTTTTAATTAACTTATTGGTGCTGACATTGAAGTTCATTAGCTGTGTTCTCGCCTAGATATACCAACTGTGTATGGAATCTGCAAGGGCCCTGTACAACAGCATTAATGGTAAGAATTTGAATGAGACAAGGCAGGACTTCCAGTAATTACTATTGGTAAACGAAGGTATAAAGTGCTTTTTTTTTTTTTCCGGTATCTGTTGGTCAGTTTTGCTCATCAGATTCATGATTCTAACGTCTAACAAAGCTGATAAATATTTTCTGACTTATAGGTTTAATTAGACTTTACTAGCTTAATGGATCAAGATTGCTGGTTCCAGTGCTCATTATTCCCACTGTTACTGACGAGCAGGAGGTGGTTACCTTGGGATGTGATGTTTAACTCTTATTCTTCAAATCATGTTTCACCTTGTCAGTTTTTTAACAGTTGAAAGTTGTGTTGGCTAATAAACAAAAATGTTCATACTTTAAAAGTATTCGGATATTGACACTGCTGCGTGTCCCACTTTGGCTAATAAAAATTGGATTGGTGCGGTTCCGGTATGTAACACCGAGGGCCGGATTGGAAATCTTGACATGATGGGCTTTTGCACTGTTATTTTTCCTTTGGAATGTGAAGGTTGGAATGAGGGTTTTGGTTTTTTTTGAATGTTTCGATGTCTTTGAGAAGCCTTGCTTACATTTTATGGTGTAGTCATTGGAAATGGAAAAATGGCATTATATATATATATATTATATATATAAATATATATTATACATACTCTCCTATACTTTATTTCAGTTACCACCCCCATAGAAGTTGACAAGAATTACTATGACTGAAAGGTTTTTGAGTCCTTATTAAAACTTTATTTATGACAGTATTCATAATTAGCTTGAACTGCATTCTGTAGGTAATCTTTCCTTGAGTTTCTGGACTGTATGCTTAAACCTTTTTGGATGTGCAACAGCTTACATGTCTGAAACTACTTGAAGGCATCACTTTGGTAAGAGCTTACTGTTAGGCCCTGAAGCATCCCCTCGTCATTGGTAGCCCCACTCAAAATATTTGCCACAGCTATTTAAGGGCAGTTGTATAAATAACATCCAGATTCATTCCTGTGGCACACATTGTAAACTGAAGTGGAGTTTACATGCAGCATCAAACGTTTCAGCTTTCAAAAAACAAAAACAACAACAAAAAAATAGGATGCTAGTGTGCAAGTTCCATGTTTAGTCATAGCAAATGTGTGCAATATGTTAACGATGCCTGTGGTTGCCACGAAGTGCCTCGTTTACCTTTTAAAATACTGTTAGAAAGTGTCATGCATGCAGATGGATGGGGTGGAACTGTGCACTAAAAGGGGCTCCAACTGCAGTGTTTGGCAGAGCTGCCTTTCTCTGCCAGTTCAAATTTTCAGTCTGTTTTCATATAGCATATATATATATAGATACTAAAAGAAAAAAAAAAAAAATCAGTCTGTTAAGCAGCCTTACTCTGATTCAGCCTCTTCAAATACTATTGTGCTGTGCAACAGTGGCTCTGTGTGTAATGCTATGCACTGAGAATACACAAAAACCAAGTATGACATGTACAGGATAATGCCTCATACAAATCAGATGTCCGTTTGTTATTGTGTTTAACAACCCTTTATCTCTTAGTGTTAAAACTCCACTTAAAACTGATTAAAGTCTCATTCTTGTCACTGTGTGGGTGTTTTATTGAAGCATTTTGAGTATGGAAATGGTCAGCTAAACCCTTTTGCTTGTAAGCTGTGAACGTTTTGAGCATGATCGTTAGAGCGAAGGATGCCCCTTGGGCATCAAGGGATTTTAAGGGAACTGCAGCTTAATGTTCAGAAGCTTGAAGCAAGTGTAGGCATTGGAAGCGCAGATTGTGTGCGGGGAGATCAAACCCTTTACCGGGATGCTGTCATGGTGAGATGCTGGACTGCTTTCCTCAGGAGCTAAACCATTTTTAGTCTCCAAATGAGAGAACTCTTTCCGAAATGCACATTGCCTTGTTTTTAGTGTCCGCCGGTACGTCTTCAGCAAAATGAGGCGCGAGTCAAACCTGAAAAGTCTTTTCCTGAAGTTGCTTTTAAATTGCTGTGAGATGCATTTTTTCCCCAGTGGAAAAAGCACGCTCACCGCGTGTACCAAGTACACAGTTTGAGGTTTCTTCTGTTCTTGTTGCTCATCTATTTTCAAACTCGACTTTAAACCGGCACCTTAAACATACGTGGTGCTCTCCTTTTGTGTTGGTGTTACCCGGTGAGTGTCTGGAAAAGAGAGACCAATAGGCCAGTGGATAGCCTCTGCCTTTCTAGTGCTGGTGAGGATCCAGGGCACTGCTCTGCACCCCGGGAGTCCCGGGGATGCTGAACTGGGTTACTTCAGGTAACTTTTGTTATTCCCCCCCGTGGTGTTAAATGTCAGCCCCATATCACATCTGGCTGAGCATCTCCAGAAAAATGCACGTGTCAAGGAGAGGTTTGGTGCTGTGGCCTGTGCTGCTCTTTGGTGGTTGAGAGAGGTGGAAAGTAATTTTGGTGCTTAATGGGGGGTGGAGTGTTTGCCAGCTGTGTCTGGCCCTTTCAGGTGAATGGCACAGTGAAGGGCTTCACACCATTTTAATAAAGCGGCAAGCAGTACTGCCCAATCTGTTAATACATGTTCCTTTTTTGGGGGTAAGCTTGTTTTTCATCCAGAAAATGAAAGTAGAGTGGGAAGGTGTAGAAAGGAAGGATGGGAAGCTTTAAGGAAAGTAGTCTGGACAGTGTTCAATATGTTGAGTAGCTTCTATATATATAACAATCTATATATATGAAGAGATTCTAGGCTGAAGACAGGTGAAAAGTGCTGTTGCGATGTGGATGGAATATTGTATTTGACTTATTCTTGTCACGTTGACTAAAAGTCCCATGCTCCAGTCCTTAGCAGCTAAAAGCCGCTTCTATAAAAAAAAAAAAATGCTCTTTTTTTTTTTTTTTTTTTTTTTTTTTCCATTTACGGCTATGTGTGCGAGTGCTCTGGTGACTAACGTGATGATTGTGCTGCTCAGGATGGTGCTGGGTGGCTGTACGGGGGCCGCTCCCGTGTGCTCCATCCCTGCACAAGTGCTTCCCGTGCCCTCCTGACCACCTCTGCTGCTGGGAGCTTCGGCACGGGTGCCCTGAGCTTTTGCTATCTCTGGCGTCGGCAGCAAACAGCAACTTGGTTTATGTGGATCTCTTTTTTAGACAGCCGTGGAGTGATTTGTTAATAATTAATTACATCTTTTTTTAAATCTGCAGCCAGAGTTATAAATTACACTCTTTTAAGAAGGAATTATGTTGGTAGCAGACTCTTTTAAAACACTTTTTTTTTTTTTTTTTTTTTTGCAGTTGGTTGGCATTTTGGTTATGAAATGAGTGATGACATCCGCTAGTGACGATGTTTCTATATTAGTCTAACCAGATTCCCTAAGGTGATGCGCTGCTGTGGTCCCCGGCCTGTTGCTGCAAGGAGGTGATGGTGTCTGTGTTCGGGGTGTGGCAGGAGCCAGGAGGCACAGCCAGGTGCAGTGGGACCCCTGCAAAGGGGTGGACCAAAAAAAAAAAAAAAAAAAAAAAAAAGCCAACAAACCAGCCCTACAGATTGAGAATATTGATATGAAGGGTGGGCAGGTCAAATAACAAGCTGGCTCGGTTTTCAGAAGAAGTCTTCTCGAAAACATAATATGAATTGCTTGCTACTTCTTCGGTTTTTTTCTCCACCTTTGGTATTTGCTCAAACCCCCTTCTTCCCACATCTACCCTTCCTGGTAGTTCCGGTCCTTTTTTTTTTTCATGCAGTTGAAAGCATTTTGTGCTAGGCAGATGAGAAAATACATTTATTCTGAACTGAACATGTATCTACCAGAATAAAAACACGTACTTCTTTTTTTGTCTTTTTGGTATCCCCTGCTCCCTGTACTTTGAGACTTTTTCTGGTTGGGCTTTTTTTATGGTGTTTCTCATTATTTTTCTGTATGTTTCTTCTCGTTTCCTGCTTTTCTTCTGCATCGGTAAACTTTCGAGCCACTGGTATCTTTGTTGCAATATAGGACAGGTAATTCTCTTCTGCCTGTTTCCTATTTAATCTTTTTTTTTTTTTGTATACAAAGCTTTAGTCTGAAGGCATAGCAAGGAGAAACGCTTTTAGGTTGCTTTTCTTAAAAGAATACCTCTGAAAAATGTTGTGCAAGTTCAGCAAATGCATTTGCCTCCGTGAGCTGCTGCCGTGCTGTACGAACCCGCACGTGTTTATTCAGCCTGATGGGAGCGATGAGCACGTGTACTTGACTTGTGATGAGTAACCTGCGCAAAAAAACTTGTTCATTAACTGCTGGGCTGTGTTTTCCAGCTGCAAATGTTTCTGTATGGGTTGTACTGACTATGGCAAAGTAGAAGAGGGTTTTAGTGAGTTTTATTTTTATTTTTTGAGGGCTCTCATGCTCGATGACTTACCTCGTGTCCCATAACTAACTCCAGATGGTGGAAAGAGGTGGCACTTCGCCTTCATGGGGCATCGCTTTCCTGCTTCAGAGCTTGTTCATGTAAGAGTTTTAAGCTGATAAAAGATGGTATCTTAAAGGCTGAGGTTTGTACTTTAAAATACCCTTTGTATAATTCAGGCTGCTTAAGGCTCTACGTTTTTTGGCCTTTGACAAACTAGCAATAGTATCGGGATTATGTGGGGTTTGGGAGATGAAGGGGGTGAACAGTTACTGGGGTGCTCTGTCCCCCATAATGTTTTTGCGGTAGAAAGAAAACAGCAGAAGGATTAGAAGGATTCTGTAATGGAAATACATGCATGAATGAAAGTTTTAAATGGAAATTACTGAGTTTCGAGGATAAGACAGCAAAGCCTTTGATGTAAGGCAGGATTTGGTAATGGGAGAGAGAAACCTCATGGGTGGAGGCATGGAACTTGTGAGAAAAGGGGTGATGGTGCATGTTCAGACAGATATGCTGAGGTTTTGCAAAGATGGTATAAAACAGCTGATGGAGGGGTGTCTGAGAGGCATCTGGAGGGCTGAGTTTAGGCGGGAGATGAATTTGAGAGGTTGGCTTGGGCATCATTTGCTCTAAAGGTGTTTGAAGCTATGGAAACAGGATGGCTGACAGCTATAGACTGTAGGTAGGACTGCAACCAGCTTTGGAAAATGTTGTCATTCACGTGGGAGGATGGTGGAGAGCTCGTGTACAGATCACACAGCAGCAAGAGTAGACCAATAACATCCACTCGCAAGGAAAAAGGAGTTCTTTCACTTGGGAAGGACATGACTTTTTCACAAGGCTTCTTGAAATCCAGATACACTGTAAAGTAGCTCCGATCTGTGGTTTTCGAGGATCTGAAGGTTCAGTATCGCTCAGATCTGACTTGCAGACGGGCTGCTGGGGCAAACCAACTTGCAGCTGAGACACCTTGGAGAGGGCTGAGAGGGCCTGATGGCATCCCGGATAAACTGCAGCCCCATTGGAAGAGGAAAGGGCTGGAAGCAGATGGGAACTACTGAACTGAGAAATACAGAGTAATAATAAAAAGCAGGAGGAGGAGGTGGTTCTGCCAGGTTGGGGTTCTTTTAACCCCAGAGAGTTGTCCATCTTCTTGGCTCTCAGCCTAGCTCTTCTGTGTAGAAAGGAAGGAAAAGCTTTGTACGAGAACTTAAGCTCACAGCTCATGTATTTGTGCCCTGCTTTATGAACCTGGGAAGCTGCTTCTTGCAATGTGTCTCCAGGATGATGTCCTCATCTCTTCCTGTTGAGCACAGAGGAATGATGCCTGGTGCCGTTCAAGTTGCCTTCCTTGGGTGGGAAGTATTTTGCTGCTCGTTTCTTGACATGCTGCTAGCTTTCTCTCACCATTTAGCTACTGATGTCTTCTTCAAAAGCCTCCTTTTGAACCATGTGCTCCTTGCAAGTTTCATTCTCTCACCAGCGGTGCTCCCAACATCTCTTCATGCCCTGGAATCTCCTCACTCCCAAATGATGGCCATTTCCCAAGCCTTCAACAAGACCTTAAGCTCTGAATCTTGTCGCTTGAGTGCACCGAAAAGATACCCCGTGACCAGTGCTGCCAAGCCAACCCTGAGCATCCCTTGCGCTGGTAGACCTTGTGCAAACAACATTCCTTGGGAGGTATCTGCTGTTCTTACTTAGCCGTTGGAACACATCCAGAGTGATGCAGGTCTTGGGCTCCTGAGGTGGCTCTGTAGTCCCCGGCTGAAGGCTTGCTCCTGAGCACGACGTATCCCGTACTGGTTTTGTCATGGGGGGCTTTGCCTCCACCGTTGCTGCTTCTCCTTCACTTCTGGTCCTTGTGGTGCTGGAGGCACCATGCTTTGGGACTGGGAGATAAGGTGCTGTGAACCGTTCCTCTGACTCCTGCTTGCTTCCTGAGTTTGGTGAAGTCTCCTGCTTTGAGTCCATCTGAGGTCTCTGCCCATTGGAGGCTCTTTGCTGGTTGCCAGCTTCTTGACTCGTCCTCCCTTGATGCAGGTGAAGGGATGGCACCCAAGGCCGAAGCCCACCTGTCCTTTTCTGGTTGGGTCTGTGCTGCAGGACTCCAGGGAATGCCCTTGCTTCCCCTGAAGGTTGAAAGAAGATGCTCCAGGGAACAAACTTTGCCTTCATTTCTGCAGCTACATCTGGCAAACCTGCATTCCAGGACAGTAACATCT